ACTTAAATTTTACCAGACCATAAAAAATGACCAAAGGATCAATAGTCATCATCTCGCCATGAGTATTCCTCATTTTTTGGCATTGTAGAACTATAAAATTAAAATTCTGCACGATTTTTAGATTTTCGTGTGCTAACCCACGCCATTTGCATGCATCCAGATGACCGAACCCAAACCCCCTAATATTTTGGCGGATCATAAAAAATTACCTAAGGAATAATAATCGTCGCCTCACCATGATTTCGAACATCACGTAAGTCTTGCCATTCTAATTTAGTTATAACAGAAAATCAAAATATATTACAAAGAAAACTTGGAGAAAAGTTTCAGGAACAGACGCAAAATAAAGTACATGAAACTTTTATTGCTCAATTTGATAAATTTTATAGAAGAAACTGCAAATAATATAATAATTTAGAGCGGTGAGGATGTTCATTTCTCCCTTTTTGATAATTTAGAGTGGTTTGGATATTTTGAGGTAACGCCGGAATTTAAAGTTTTGCGGGTTCTAAGATTTTTAGTTTCTTTAAGTTATTTTATTTTATATTAATAGTGTTTATATATATATATATATATATATATATTTTATTTTAAATTAGTAGTTTGTACATATTTAATAATTTTATTATAATAAATATATCGAATTTGAATCGAAGTTACTGAGTTCGATCGATCAGAACCCGTTAGTTGTATTGTAGCCTCATCTCTACTTGAATTGTAAATTCGCGGGCAGAACTAAAAGAGAATAGTAGAATTCATAAAATAGAAGAAAAACCATTACTCTAAATTTGAAGAAAATAAACAATATGGAAACATATTATCACAATATATTGTACAACAAAACATTACATGACCAACCATCCCTAAGAACCGAATGGCTTTATTCATACTTGTTACAAGCAAGGTCTAAAGTAGCACAATGTATAAGTTATATACGCTAACGGCATATATAACTTACACTCTTTATATATTACACATAATGATCAGTTGTGAGGCTGAGCTTCAGTGACTTTATCCATGGCCTCACCTGCGTAGGAACAACACCTTTTGCATCCCTTGTAACCTTTCCTGCAGCAACCATAGCGGCATCCTCTACGTTTATAACCACCACCATAATATCCACTACGTCCGTCAATAGATACTCCATTCTCGTTATCCAATTTCATTGCTGCATCAATTATGAAAATTAAAACATAGTACTATTTCATATGTTTCAATTAAGCTTCGCAACCAGCCAAATTAAAACACTTAAAATGAAATAAAAGGACTACATATTAAGAGTTATTATCAAGCTATAGCGATAGTAAATAAAAAAGTGTAACTCAACTACTAGCTCGATTTGGAAAACAAATTGAGCTTTACTAGCTAATAATGTTAAAATAATGTTAAAATACATCAATGCGGACAAAATAATTAATAGTTGAATCCTATATCATATAATTAACGAGAAATGACATTTTCGTTTTTTTCAGAGTAAAATGAGAGTGAGCTTACACTTGGAAGTCTCAGCCAACTCAGCAGCTACAACCTCAGAGCTTATCAGGAAAAAAATAGCCAAACAAAGACCAAGAAACAGAAATGCCTTAGAACCCATTTTTTTTGTTTGTTTAAAGCTTAGTTTGAAATTAAGGGATGAAGAAACTGGTGTAATCTTGGGTTCTATTTATAGTAAGATTTGAATGCATAAATAATTGAAGGGAAGGGTATACTAGGACGTGTGAGGGAAATTTTACATTATTGTGTGGACCAAAGGAGACGAAGAAACTTCTACAAGAGGAAGTAAAGAGAGTGAATGTGAATCCGGGGCGAAGTGCAACAATAATCACTTTTAAGCCCGTTATTTAAAATATATCCATAATTTATTATGTATAAAAAGATTAGCTAAATAACCCAAAATTCAGGACTAAGTATCTTGAATTTTTGAGGAGGTAATTTGAAATTCAGGATTAACTGTCACGAATTTTTGAACTATTAATTTAAAATTTAGGACATAAGATTCGAATTTCTGGATACAATTTTCGAACTTTCGGATACAATATCCTGAAGTTTGAACTTTGAGGTTTAAACTCTAGGATGCTGTGTCCTGAAGTTTGAGCGAAATTGGCTAATCTTTAATTATAAATTAGGCCAAAATCTTAGATAGACCCTTAAACTTGGCACGTTTTTTAAACTAAACATATAAATTTTCAAGGTGACCAGATAGACACTTAAAATAGGCCAAAGTATAATTTTCAAACCCCTCCCTATGTTTAGACATGGCATGTGATTTTCAAACGCCACATACATGCCTATTTTCAGTTTTTTTAATTTTTAATATTTTTTTAAAACTGATTTTTTTATATAAACTGAGTTTTAAATAAAAAAAATAGAAAAAAATAATTGTTTAACAAAATACTTTCATTTTTTAAAACCTGAAAAAACTATCTTCAAGAAAATATTTTCGTTTTTTGAAAAATATAATTTTTTTTTGTTTTTTAATATAATATTTTTATTTTTTATAAAGACTTACGAAAATTATTTATTTTCTATACGAAAATTTAAATACTAAAATTCAATAAATAATTTATATGCTTACATGATGTTAATCAAATTCTAATGAGACGTTTATGAATAAATTTTCGTAAGCATATATAAAAAATAAAAATATTATATTAAAAAAAATTATGTTTTTCAAAAAACGAAAATATTTTGTTGAAGATAATTTTTTCAGTTTTTAAAAAAAAAGTATTTTGTTAAACAACTATTTTTTTCTATTTTTGATTTAAAACTCAGTTTATATAAAAAAAAATAAGTTTTAAAAAAAATCATTAAAAAATTTAAACAACTGAAAATAGGCATATAGGTGGCGTTTGGACATCACTGCCATGTTTAAACATAGAGAGTGGTTTGAAAATTACACTTCGGCCTAGTTTAAGTGTCTATCTGATCACCTTGAAAGTTTATATGTTTAGTTTACAAAACGTGTCAAGTTTAAGGGCATATCTAAGATTTTGGCCTATAAATTATGAATATATTATAAATAGCATGCTTAAAAATAGCTATTCGGTGTCATTTCAACGTGAAGAGTCTTGAACTAGAGGAGAAGCTAGCGTTTAGTTTATTGGTGCAGTTGAATGCAGTACTTTAAGTTCAAATTCTGTATTTATTTTTCACTAAAAATGTAAAAATTATTATTTTAGATTCCCATAACTTAAAAGGAGTAGAATCTCAAACCCGAAAATTTTAAGTCCTCGCCCCACCTCCCTTGAAGAGTTGAACTAACACTTATTCTCAAAGCATAAATTCAAATCCCCTTTTTTTTTTAAGTAAAACCCAAGTCCAAATTAAATGTCAAACAAAGAAATATTTTCACAGTCTAACTCCAAAGAAATTTAGAACCTGATCTACGAATGGATTGCTTATTAAGAGTCAAATAATCCAGATCAAGATTAGTTTACTATAATGTTCTACTTTAAGTTGCGCCCCCTGGTAGGACTAATATATGTGATACTCTTTGTTTCAATTGAAATAACATATTTTTCTTATTAATCCCTTCGAAAAAGAATAACATATTTTTATATTTAAAAATAATTTAATTTTAAACTTTTTATTTTACTCACTTTATTCTGATGAATTTTTTTTATAGCTACACAAATGTTATGTCCGACAAAGCTTTTGTCCTTAAGTTTTCAAGACCATATATTTTAAAAGTATATCATTTTTTCCTAAATTTTATCTTAAATCAAACTACATCATCTAAATAGAAAGGTAGAAAATAACTTTTATGCCATAAAAATATTTTTGATATTTTATAAATATTTTTAATTTAAGAACAAGTATATTTTGAGAGAGAATAGGAAGAGTCAAACCACGTGAAAGGGATTGCTGGCCTACAAATTAAAACATGAGTGAAGAAACAAATCATGCAGAAGAATATGTCAAACAGTCACTTATCAGTTGACTTATCAAACAAACGCCAAGTTAATATTTGTCGGTATTCGATATTTATATCAATTCAATATAATAATTTTAATATATTTATTTTTAATTAAAAATTTCGAGTCAAGAATGAAATCGCCTTTAGTAAAAAATGCTTTATCTCTAAAGAGAAACTTTTCTGCGCAAGTGCAAATTAATCGAATTCCCATTTAATATGAACATCGGGTGGGAAAAAAAAGATAACGTATTAATCAGAATACCCCAAGATGTATAAAATCTCAAACTGCAAAACAATTCTCAACCATATTTTATGCCGGAAAAATTAGAAATAGCCAGTTTTGAAACTGGTAACTAAAAATAGCAACATTAAAAGTAATCGAAATCTAATCACTTTTTCATTTAAAGATAAAATATGAACAAAAACACCCTTAAAATTCGAAAAAATTTCAGCTTAATATGTTGTAGGTAGAGTTTTTTAATGTACAGGAATTTCATAATGTACTGGAGTTCCAACATAATATGCTCAAGTATATAAGCAGGATCTTTCCGTATTTCAGCTAGAGTATTTTTATCCAGATTTTATTTGTCACGACCCGAATTTCCCACCGTCGGGGTCGTGATGGCGCCTACTGTGGGAGCTAGGCAAGCCACTGAACTATACTCTTAATCATCAATTAAAAACAATTCTGAAACAATTTACTGTGAACATTAACAGACATTTTAAAGGAACAGTTAACCCTTATACTTAAATTAAACATAGCGGAAGACTTAACAATATATTAATTGCCAAACGGAGAAATCTTAACACGATCCTCTACCCAAGAAAGGAGTGTCACAGCTATCACGAACTACTAAGAGTTACTACAAACAAGGGCCTGGAGCGAAATTATACAATAGTCTGTTCCGAAAACAAAGGAACCAACATAAAGCAAAATAGAGGAGATCCAGGACTCGCGGACGCCAGCAAGCTACCTGGGGTCTCCGTACTGAGGGCTAGCTCCTGACTATGGCTACTGCGGCGCTCCAAAGACTGCTCCCGGATCTGTGCACAAAAGAGCACAGCAAGTGTAGTATCAGCACAATCCGACCCCATGTGCTGGTAAGTGCCTGGCCTAACCCCGGCTCACGAGGTAGTGACGAGGCTAGACAGGACCTACAGCAGATAAACCTGTGCAGAATATATATATACAAGCAAGAGCAATAATCTACAAAGATATTCTACGGGAGGGGACATGCTGTCGGGGAAATGTCTACGAACTAGCAGTCAATAAAATAGTATGGCAAGACAAGGAAAAATAGGATAGACTTTATGAGCAGCTTAAGATTATTTCTTTCCTTTAGTTATCTCCACAGAGAGTAAGTAAATGAATGAATCAATATCTGAACAAATGAACATATAACTGAACAAATGAACAACTGAATGAATAAATAAATGAATGATTGTACGGCACCACCCATCGTGCTTCCTCACATCCTCTCAAATCATAAAAACAATATCGGCACGGCAACACCCATCGTGCTTTCATCCTCCCATTCTCTCACAATTTATATAATCAATTCTCGGCACGGCAACACCCATCGTGCTTATTCATATCAATATCATGGCACGGAAAGACCCGTCGTGCTAAATCACTCTCTTTCCTCACCACATCATAATAACATAGCTAAGTCAAAAGGAGGAGAGAGTATAGAAACATCAAAGGTCTCAATAGGAGAGTTGTCATCAACCACAATGACTCGGTAGTGTAGCTAACAATTCATTTAACCGGCTAGGGCACAGCTATAACCAAACATCCCAAAAGGGGAATCAAACCAACCTACAGTCTCAAATATTCCGTACTAGTAATTTCACTTGAGTCATCCTCTTTAAGATATCTACTTTCAAAACTTAGATCATTTATCACAGAAAAACATTTCATAACTAGAAATCAAGTCATGGCATCTTAACTACAACATTTCAAGACTCACGGTCATGCTTGACTCGGGCGCATAGATAACCGTCACCAAACCTATACACCGACACCATGTAGCACATAGCAAATAATATCCTAATCCTATTCCCTCGAACCAAAGTTAGATCAAATACTTACCTCGATGCTGAAATAGCAATTCAAGCTTCTAACACCGCCTTTCCTTTAGAATTGGACTCCCACACAACGGTATCTAGTCACAAATTACTCAAATCAATTATCAAAGGCTAATTGAACTGATTTGAATGAATGAAGATAAGTTTCCTAAGTTTTTCCCAAAAATTCCCAAAATACCCCTGGGCTCACGTGGTCGAAACTCGAGGTTTGGACAAAAACCCGATTACCCATTCTCCCGTGAGTTCAACCCAATGATTGGAATTGAAATCGGACCTCAAATTGGGGTCCAAAAGCTCAAAATATGAAAACCCTAGTTTCTACCAATTTCACCATTTTTAACCATGAAAAAGCTTGGATTCAATGAGAAATCATGTTAGAAGAGGATGGGAATTGAAGAAAATGAGTTGGAATCGACTTACAATTGAATTGGAGAAGAATCAAGGAGAGGAAAAATCGCCCGTGCTCTTTTGGGTTTTGAAATGTTTGAAAAATAACTGAAGAAATCGATTAAGTCAGATTTAATACACTATCGGATGTCGCAATTGCGACACGTTCCTCGCAATTGCGAAGAAGAAGGAAAAGGAAGGGTCTCGCAAATGCGAGGAAATGGCTTCGCAAATGCGAAGCTGGAGAAA